AAAAAGCCACAAAGAAACTGGGAAAGGATTAATATATTTAACAGCTATTTCATGTATTGGTGATATATCCTATTTTCACATTACGCAACAAGAAACGTACAAGTGGGATTTCTTTTTTTAGAAAGGACAAATAATCCATTAAATTTTAAATATACTTTATTTTATTTAATTAAACATTTAATTCCAATAATTTTTGGGGTAACAGGTGTGTTTGTTTACTGGATAAGTTCTTTGGTGGTATTTCCCTGAGGATTTTGGTACATTCCAGCACCCGATAGTGGTACCAGTGTACCACAATGGTGTGTCTTTTATCCCTCACCTTGAAAAACAAAAAAAACCACACACAAACAACAAAAAAACAACACAATCAAGAAAAAACCTCCTACCTCCACCAGTTTCCAAAGTCATTGTATCATCTTATGCCTTTGTGTTCCCATAGCTTGCTCCACTATAAGTGGAGACATACAATGCTTGGTTTCCATAACAAGTTAATTCACATTAGCAATAATGGTCTCCCCAACTTCATCCACGGTTTTGCTTTGAATAGAGACCATAATATTATCTTCTATATTTATGACTAGACAAAAAGAGGAATCGATATTACCATTAACATTATTTATCAAACTTCAATTGATTGATGGCCCATTTGGCTGCAGAATCAAACTATTTATGCAATACAATAAAAAACGAATTAACGTAAGGGGGGACTGCACTATAAATCCTCTTGTACAAAATAATTAGTACTATATTATCTTTTATTTCTTAATTTTTTATATTGAGACCAAGGGGTCCATAAGCCTCTGTCACACAGAAAGACTGCAGTAACAAGAGACCAATTTAACTCAGCATCGCTCACTGCAACCTCTATACCATCCCGGTTGCGACCATTCTCCTGCCTCAGCCCCTGCTGGTACTGGGACTAAACAGAAGGCGAAAAACAAAAACAAACGACGCCGGGAACTAAGTTTTGTTTGGATATATTTTTAGTAGAGACGGGGATTTCCACTGTGTTATAGCCAGGATGGGTGCTTGATCTCTTGACCCAAAATCAAGTGATCTGCACGCCTCGGCCCTCACCCAAAGTGGCTCGGATTACCAGGCGTGGATCCCCCAGCAAACTGGCTCCAAATAATCCATTTTATCGTATAATAGACACTCCTTATTCCTATTGGGTAGATATCATAAGCGAGATTGCTGGGTCCAATATACAGCATCATAAACTTTAGTTTCTTAAGATACTCTAAGCCTGTTTTCCGTAAGTGCAATAAATAAAATATAAAATGGTAACTAACTTTACATTCTACCCAGCAATATGAATGATAATTCCATTTCAACCACATTCCGCCAACATCTATTTTATTTTTTTTATGGCCATTCTTGCAAGAATAAGGTAGTATGGCCAATGTGGCCTTTGATTGACATTTCTCTGAAATTGGTGATATTGAGCATTTTTTCATGTTTGTTGGCATTTGTATATTCTTTTTAAGATTGCTATTCTCGTCTTAGTGCCACTTTTGCTGGGATTATTTATTTTCTGCTTGGATTTGCTTTTTTATTCCCTTGTAGATCTGGATATATTCTTGTCAGATCATCAGTCTTTGAACCTATTTCTCTCCTCCCCACTCCCTCTAGACTGTCTGTTTACCTCTGTTGAATTACTTTCCTTTTGCTGTGCCAGAAGCTTCTAGTTTAATTAAGTCCATCTACTTATCTCATTTTTGGTTGCATTTGCTTTTGGGTGTTGTTGGTCTGAACTTCGTTTGCTAAAGAAATGTCGCCCGGCTAATTTTTTGGATTTTTAGTAGAGATAGGGTTTCTCCATATTGGTCAGGCTGGTCTCGAACTCCCAACCTCAGGTGATCAGCCCGCCTTGGCCTCCCAAAGTGCTGGGAGTACAGGCGTGAGCCACCGCCCCCAGCCGGGTCCTCACTAATTTCTAAGAGTGCACAGAGATACTGAAACCTAAAAGTTTAAGAACGGCGGGCTAATTGCTGGGGGCAGTGGCTCACGCCTGTAATTCCAACACTTTGGGATTTAAAACAATACAGTATTTAACAACACAGGCTCACGCCTGTAAACACAGTACCTTGGGAGGCCGACGTGGACGAATCGCTTGAACCCAGGAGTTTGAGACTAGCCTTGGCAACATGGCGA